TTGTATACGGAAATATTTACGAATTTATTATACTGTTTGTCTACGTTTTTTATATGTTTATTAAACGTATTATTTCCATATACTTTCCTTATACTAATTATTTATAGGGTATATGAGATCTATTATTTAAAATATATTAATCCTAATCATAAATTGTAATATCTTTTAATATTTATTCACTTTGAAAAATTTGTTAAAAAGAAGTAAAGAAAAAATATTTTTATAAAAATAATACTGTTTATACTAATATAATAATTTTATATAAATAAAATATAAGAAATAAAAAAAAGAAAATGTATTTTTTGGTTTATTCATAGGTTAAACAAACTGTATTTTCCTTTAAAAAAACATGTTTTTATATGTATAATTTTTTAGAAAAATCCAATAAGGAAGAGTTTTTTAGTATAATATTCTATATTATTATTTCAAATAATAAAATTTATTGTCTAAAGCATAGTGGAAGACATTTACTTTTAGGTTATTTAAATGCAGGTCATTCTGTCTGTTCAAATCTGGCAAGCCTGATAGACCAATAACATTTTGTTTACATTATCATATGTTATGTCTTTTGTATTACAAAATAATTAATTATGTGAAATATGATATTATAATTTTTTATATATCATGCTTCAGATTTTGAATGGATCCCGTTTCCTAGTTTATAATAAATTATTAAAGAGATTTTAAAATTATTAAACTTTTATTATAAAACATTTTTAAAGATTATTAGAAATATTTATTATATGGGTTAGTATGTACAAAAATCAAGATAAAAACCTGATTTTTGTATATACTAACCCATATAAATATTTTATATACAAAGTTAAAAAAATATATAAATTTTAAAAGTTTAAACTAAAAATAATTATTTTATTAAAATAACTTCTTATTTTAGAAATTAATATCGATATGAATATTTATTATAAAATGAATTTAATATAAATTTAAACAAATGGAATACTATTATTATAAAATAGTTTTATATCTTAACTTATCCTGTATGGCTTGATATTATTTATTTCTATAATCCTTTATCCTAACTTTGTAAGATATTTGCTATACATAATTTTTATATTATTCTAGTAGGCTTGTTTATTACTTGTAATAACTTCATTTCATTGTTTCTAGCCAATCAAAGAAAGGAAGGTTGCACCAACTTTTCATATAATGGAATAAAATTAAAAAAAGTAACAAAATTTACACCTCCATATCAAGTAACTATTCATACTTTCTTTTATTTTTTTACAAGCTATGCCATTTAACTACGTAAGCATCTGCATCGCTTTATATGACTATACAGCTCAAACCGAAGATGAGCTTACTTTTCATGAAGACGATGTTCTTTATATACTAGAAAATGACGAAGAAGATTGGTGGAAAGCGAAATTAAAGAGCGCTAACACTGAAGGTGAACACCCGATTGGACTTGTGCCTCGTAATTATATTCAGGAAGTATGTATTTTTATTTGTTCCACTGTTTACAGATCCTACTTTAATGTTAACTTACGTCTATCGTCATTCATAATTAGGCTGAATGTACTGCAGTTTTAAGAGCTCTTTGGGATTATGAGGCTAGTTCGGAAGAAGAGTTATCATTTAAAGAGGATGATATGTTAAATTTATATGAAGAAGATGGGGATGGTTGGTTTTTGGTCAAATTTAACGATGTATTCGGTATGATTCCTCCAAATTATGTCGAAAAGGTAAGTCAATTCGTATTTTTTTTTTGTAAAAAAAATATATATATATTTCAGATTTTGATGACAAGGGCTTTACCAAATATAGGTATCCGTGGACTCTATTGAACAGTATGCACAAGAAGAAAATTATGATGAAGAAGAAGATAAAGAAAATCAGACTAATAAAGCAAAACCAGTATCATTATTTGACGCTTTATCAGTAAGTATCAGTAATATTGTGACGGAGTTCTAATTTATCATTGATATTTATGATAGTTCTTTTTTTTCATCTGTAATTGTAGAGCGCGAATAATACATATGTGGATCCATTAAAATTATATGCTGTAAAAGCCGCTCGTCCAAAGGCTGGATCATTAGCAAATGAAAGAAAAACTTGGTCTGTTACGGTAAATTTAATTGACTAGCAATTTAATTCAAATTGCACATTTTCATTAAAAAGCATATGTATTTTAAAAATAAAATTCCTTAGGAACTTGTTGGTGATAAGAAAAAACAAAAGAAGAAAGGTACTTTGGTGATTGGTAATGGTAGAGTCATTTTTGCCAGTGAGTCTGATAAGGTAATGATTAATTATTTAATTTTCATTTCGATTAATCATAAATTCATTCCATAAATTATATATTTAGGCGCCTGTTCGCCAGTGGGAAATTAATGATATTACAGATATTAATAAAGATAAAAAAAATATTTCATTCACATTTGGAGGTTCCAAGGGAGGAACGATTGATTTTCATGCCAATAAAAATGTTATTATAGAAATTTTTCAAAAAGCGGAAGATTGTCGTGCTAGTATAGAAATTCCTACAGTGAAGGTGGATAATTCTTCCACCAGATCAAGTATAGTTAGCCCTACATTATCTTCTTCACGTCCTTCATCGACTCATAAATCAATAGAGTCTGAAGAGCTTCAAGAATATGAGAATGATGAACAAGATGTATCAAATTCATATCATAGCGTACCTGAGGTTACTATAGAAGAGAAATATGTAGAAGAAAATGAATTGCTGTCACCTAAATTTGGTGTAGCACTATATGATTTTGATGCTCAAGGAGAAGATGAAGTTTCAATTCGTGAAGGCGATGAATTATGGATTATTGATGATGTAAGCAGTGAAGAATGGTGGAAGATTAAAAAAGGAGATGAAGAAGGGGTTGTACCCGCTTCTTTTATTGAAGTGAGTGTTATCATTAAGTTATTTAATTTATTATCAAGATTATATATAACAAATAATTAAATTATCGTTATTTATATCAGTTACATAGTGAAGAAGACATTGAAGCTGAGAAGGCTGCACAAGTTGCTGCCGCCGAAGCGGAGCGTCAACAATTTGAAGAAGAGGAACGTATTAAACGTGAAGAAGAAAGAAGGCGTCGTCAACGTGATGAAGAAGGACGTAAACGACGTGAAGCGGAAAAACGTGCTCTCGAAGAAAAGAAACGAAAAGAAGCTCAATTACAGCTAGCACCCCCTCCTCCAATTTTGCCAAGTATGATCACATTTAATAAACATATATTTTTTAAATTACTTTACATTGTGTTAAATTAGATTTTTTACAGATCGGCCAATTCGGGCGAATCCCTCTTTAGGTATATATTACTTGGGCTCTTGCAGCGTATGACTTTGTCATAAAATTGACTATTTATGAGGTTAAGAAACCGGCCCACTCAATTAGGAGCTTTTGTGCTTATAAGGTTGCACTTAAATGCGTAAAAACACCCTTATCGGTACAAGGGATCCTAACTCGAATCTCCTGTCGTCTTCTTGTCATCATTGTTGAAAGTGCCCGCTACCTTTTATCCTTACTCATTAAAAAAATTTTTTCGATGTTATTCAGAAGAAGCAGCTGTAAAGAAAATTCAGACTCCTTCAAACCGCGCATTGCCTGAACGACCAGCGCAAGCTTTATCTAAATCTAGTATGTTTTTATGTTAGGTGTATAATAATTGTATTAAGGATTTCAATTGTATTGATTATCCATCCTTTTTGTTTTAAAGAACCAATTCCGTCAAATACAAGGACTTGGACTGATCGATCAGGTTCTTTTAAAGTTGAAGCACAATTCTTACAATTAATTGATGGCAATGTACACCTTCACAAACTTAATGGCGTTAAGATTGCTGTTCCTGTCGATAAGATGAGCAAAGAAGACCTTGCTTACCTTGAGGACGTTACAGGAGAGAAAGTTTATGATAAAAATGATGATACCCCTCTAGCTGCTATTGCCGCTGCATATAAAGGCAAGGCGAGATTATCAAATAATTATGCTATTGATTATGATTGGTATGATTTCTTCCTTAATGCTGATGTCTCACATGAGGATGCCTTCGAGTATGCTAAAAAGTTTCTCGCAGAGAAGATGGATGAGAGTTCAATTCCTGATCTCGATCGTGATGTGATGAAGGGACTTGGTATCAAGGAGGGGGATATTATCAGGATTAAGAAATACATAGATCAAAAGTATAATTTCGGGAAAAAGAGAAACGTTAGTTTTGGTTCAACAAGTGTCATTCCTGATGATATAGATATACAATCAAAGAACAAACAAAGTGTAAGAAAATCACAGGTTCGAGATATTCCTTTTTGTTTTAAATGCTTTTAATATATTTTTTAAATTCATAATTTTAAATATTGACTTTATGTAGCCCGAAGATGTTCAAAAAGCGCAACAGCTTTCGGAATTTGATATTAAAATACAATTGAAGCGTGATGAACAATTGGCTAGGGAACTTCAAGAAGAGGAGAACAGAATAGCTCGAAGTGAAGGTCGTCAAATTCCGAAGTCTGCTGATCTATATAGTAATTTAGATTCTATTATACAGAGAGAAGAGAAAAAGACCCCAACAACAACACCACAACTTTTTGCTGCCAATAATGGCATGTTAAAAAATAATACAAAGAAAGCTCGCCCCCAACCCACAAAGGCAGCATCAATTCAGATTGATGCTAAAACTCTTGTTGCTAAAGGATCATTTGATGATGCTTTTAAGTCATCATCAACGACATCAAGAGAAAACAAATTTGATGATGATGCATGGGTTTCTAAAGATTTAACGCCACCTTTGGTACCTACGTCATCGTCTTCCACGCCACCTTCACCACCTCCACCACCTTTAATTCCTCAAGCTCCACCCTCTATCCCTTTCCGTTCTTCCAATTTATCTTCCACTAACCATCCTTTAAATAATTCGACTTCTCCCTTAAACCAAAATCAAATACCATCACATCTAATGGGACAACTTAGCTGGAATTCAAATAACATGAATATTCAATCATCACAGCCAACTCAGATTCACGCTCCTACTCCTCCACCAGTACCCCCACCACCACCATCACAATCCATTGTTCCTTTGAATAGTATGCTTCAACATCCTTTAGTTCCTGCAAAACCAGCTAGTTTGAGTACAAATAATAATATGATGAGTATTCAAAGATCAAATTCCACGGGTAGTTTTCAAGGGATGGGAACAGGAAATTTATCCGGACCTGTTGTCAATAACTTCAATTCCTCTTTAAATACTTGGAGTTCTGCGAGTAAGTTATAAATATTTTTATTTGTAATAATTGAGTTTTACTTAATACTAATAAAAATAATAAAATTTTCCAGGTCTAACGACATCTACGTTAACAAATTCTACGTCAGGATACAATTTATCAAGCGTCAATCAAATCCATTCCAGCATAGATACATCAAATCAATTACGATCACAATCATTTAATAGCAACAATAATTTAATAAATCCTTCATTTAATCAAAAATCATCAAATCAATCACAACAACTTCAATCTCAGCAATCATCAAAGTATGATCCTCAGAATGTATTTGCTTCAATGAAAAATGGTCAATTTGGTCCAATTGTACCAACAAGTAACTTTAATGCTAATGGTATATATGTTATTATCATTGTATAATAACTAGTATTATATGTTTCGTGTTAATAACATGATTTAATACCTCTCTATTTATAGCTTCGCAAGATAAATATGCTGTCTTCAAACAGGTGGATCCTAACGCTCCGAGTGTCTTAAGCAATTCAAGTAATTAAAAAACATATCTTCTTCTCTAGTGCATAATTCCAATGATTTACTCATTAATCAAATATTTTAGATGGAACAGGTTTTGGTCAAAATCAAGGCGGACTTATTAATTCCAATCAAACAAATTGGAATCAGAATAATCTTGGGTTCCCTCAACAAACGTCCAATTTCGGAATGAGCGGACAGAATTCTGGTTTGAGTGGACAGCCAAATCAAATGGGATTAAATCCGCAAGCATATAATCCGAATCAAGGATTAAATATTAATCCCGGAATGAATCAAGGATTTGCGCCCAATCCAAATTTCAATAACAATCAACAATACCCTGGAAGACAGGTAATGTAATAATGGAATTGCGATAATTTAATTAGTTAAAGCAAACTATTAATAATGTATTTTTAAATAGTGGTAACATATTACTTGGACAGGTTGGTGAATTATTCTAGAACATTTATTTATATTTATTTATCAAATAGAGTTTATATTATATAAATTTGGATTTTATGTAAGCATTTGCTGTTATAATAGCAATTGTAATATATATAACTTTTCATAAATTATATTTATAATAATTACATTTGTTTTTAAACTTCGAAAATTTACATATTATTGATTACAATAAAACAACAAAAAAGAACCATGATTTTTTTTTTTTTATTAAAAAGTGAAGTTATTAAATTTTTTTTTTTTTTTTTAAAAAAGGGGATCTAATATAAAAATAAAATAAGTTATTTATTAAATTGCGGCATTATGTACAGTCTGTGCACGTCCTGAGGGATCTTCGGGACAACCTTATTGAAATTTGGTTAGAAAGTAAGTTAATGTTCAATGTATGAAATGACGAAAATTATACAATAATCTCCATAAGGAAAAATTACCCCAATCTGCTCTTGGAATCCATCTTTCAACACTATCAGTACATGCTTCTTCGGGGAACCAACTTTCGAATTGTTCTCTATACCAATATCCTTCTTTGGTAGTTGGCGTATCTTTTGACCAACGGTTAGCAGCGTTAGCAAATTGTTCATCAGTAACGTGCTGTTCAGAAGTCTCTTTGAGAGTATCAATCCAACTATATCCTACACCATCAGAGAATTGTTCTTTTTGGCGCCAAAGAACTGACTCAGGAAGATAAGGACGCACATCTCCAGTTGTTGATACATCAAAAGCTTTTCTGAGAATGTACTATATATAAAGGAAAAGAAAAAAAAACGGAATTCAATAAAATGTATGAAATTGAGTGAATGCATAACGTTGAATTAAAATTTACCTTCTCCATTCTCCCTTCTCTGAATACTTTTTCTTCGGGATCAATACTCATAGCCACATCAAGGAATGTTTTATCTAAGAATGGTACACGAGCTTCAAGACCCCAAGCCATTGTAGATTTGTTAGCACGCAAACAATCAGCAGTATGAAGCTTTTTAACACGCGAAACTGTTTCCTTATGAAAATCTGCAGCAGATGGTGCAGCATGAAAATATAAATAACCTAAAAGATTATAAAATAATTAATAAATGTGATTTAACCAAAAAGTCAATTTATGGTTCAAATATACCTCCTAGAATTTCATCACTTCCTTCACCACTTAAAACCATCTTAACTCCCATGGCCTTAATCTTTCTTGATAATAAGTACATTGGGGTACTTGCCCTAATTGTTGTCACATCATATGTTTCCAAATGATGAATAACGTCATGAACTGCATCGAGACCTTCTTGAAGCGTAAAGGTATATTCATGATGTATAGTATCCAAAAATTCTGCCACAGTTCGTGCAGCCATTAGATCAGGTGACCCGGGAAGACCAATAGAGAAAGAATGAAGCTTTTGCCAAGTGGTAACTCCTCCTATAGAACAAATATTATCACTTACTTAGAATTATAAATTATTTGAATTAAATGTTTCAAAAGAAAGAAAAAGAAAAAAGTATAATATTTTGCAAAAGAATCCTTGCCATGAATTTTTATCTAATACTGTAATATACATAACAATGTAAATCTATCACATGATTGTAATGTTCCTGGCACGGTTTCCCAGTAAAATATCTGTAAAACTTACGATCTTCATCAAATCCATTTTGAGTAGCAGCTAATTTGGCAGCTTCCCTTGTTGCAATGGAAGCTATTAAACTGGAGTCCAACCCTCCACTTAATAAGACACCATAAGGTACATCACTCATTAATCTCTTGCGTACAGCATTTTCCAAGGATTCTCTCAAGTAAGTATAATTGATAGGATTTTTTGGTATTACTTCTTCATCCCACCATGATGGTTTATAATATCTTCTTGTTTCACCAGTTAAACTGTCATAAATATGACCAGGTGGAAACAAGATGATTTTATCACATTCTTCATTAAGTGCCTTTAATTCCGAGGAAAAATAGACTGTATTCGGTGACGATGATGACCAACCTTGGTAAAGGGAAGTAATACCAATTGGGTCGCGTGCTGCAATGAAACGATTTCTATTCGTGTCCAAGAGGACAAACGAAAACATACCATCGAGATGATTTACAACATCTTTTCCTATTTCAGAATACTTTTTTTTTTTAAAAAAAAAGCAAGTTGTTTTAGACGCGAATTATAAATTAAATGCAAGAAAAAGAATAGCATACCAAATGAAGGATGACTTCACAATCTGATTGAGTTTTGAAATGCGTGTCAGGTCTAAGTTGTTTCCTTAAGGGTTTGTGATTATAAATTTCACCATTTACAGCAAGAATGATCGTTTCATCTTCATTGGTAAGAGGTTGAGCACCAGAATCTTAAAAAACAAAATTCAAAAGAAAAAATTAATTATTTGTAAATTATAATATAACATGTATTTGAATGGGTTATGTTACTTACCAACACCAACAATGGCTAAACGTTCGTGACATAGAATGTTATTACCCGAAATTTTACAACCACTCCAATCAGGTCCTCTGTGTCTCAATCTGAATTTTGTGACAAGAAAGGATGTTCATTTTAAATCAAATGACTGCAAGTTGATAATTTTTTTAAAATAATAAAAGTTCACCTTTTAGAAAGTAATAAAGCTCGTCGACGGAAAGCATGAATATCATCTTGATAATTGAAAACCGCAAAAATACCACACATTATGATTCTTTAAATTTTGGATTTATAATTAGACACGAAGCAATTTTTAATTTCGAAGGTTCGTTATAAATTACTTTTTATAGAAAACCAAGCTAAAAAGCTGCAACAATACTTTTGTTTTTTAAATATGAAAAGTTTAACGGTCATCTCCGAGCCTTTCAGGCAAATTTATACTGATAAGATAGATACCTTTATATTTCGTACAACAGATCCAGGCTGATAGAATCTTATCTCTTATCTCGTGTCATTGCTTCCTTCAAACCGATCTTAATTTTGTACACTTCAAATACGTAATTTTAGCCGATAAATAAAGGTCATGTGGGAAAAATAACAAATATTTACTAGGTCTTATGCACTTACATAATTTTTTCAAGGGAACTATTTTTGTGTCCTTTCCTTTTTATTTCATATGCATGAACCCAAAGAACCTCCGTACATATAGACAAATATAAACAAAACCAAGAAATTTTGAGTGCAAAAAGTTTCTTACTTCGATATATGGGGATCTGGTATGTCCAATTTCGGCATACACCTTTTTATTGAGAACTCTCGTTTTAGAAAATCCCTTGAAATTTAATGTAATGCAATACAGTGATGACAAAAGAGCGCATTTATCTTATTAGGGCAAACAAACAATAAAAGGGTTTCACGATTATTAAGTACAAGTCTCGTGAAGTTCTCGCCAAAGATCATGAGGAATTTACAGAATAATTGCCAAGAAGGATAATCTCATCAAAATTTTTATGTGACAATCCTGCTGACAGTCTCTTCAAAAAAAAATATCACTAGAGGGGATCGACAAGACACAAAAAAACAACATTTTTAAAAAAAAAAGTTGAGATTTGATGGATTTTATGTGACCTTATCTTTTTGCAGATACATTCAATATTTGACTTTCTCGGTTAGCTTCGATTTTTTCTTCACCAAAAAAAATGATAAGAATGACTACATAATTAATATATTTGATCATTTACGATTGTTCCATTTTCGTTCTAGTCTTTTCTATTTTAAAAATCCGATTATTTTATTTTGATTTTCAAGATCATATCTAAATGTATCTTCCATCCATTAATTAAATTATTTATCCCACGAAATTAATTTCTATAATATATTATATATATATTAGATAAGATTAGATTAAAATAAATCGTGTTACTTTAACATTGGAAATTTAGTCAGTTGATCATTCCAAGTTCTTTGTTGAAGTAGATTTGGCTTTTTTACTTTTATTATCTTTTAACTAGTAAATTGATGATTACTTTCCAAGTTTGGCAGCTGGTTTAGATTGGATAAAATGGAAAATGGTGAATCTGATTGATTTGATAAACTTAAGTCGATTGATTTGCGTAATATTTTAAAAAAGTTTAGCATTGCCAATCCCGCAGCAGACTAATGTGCTACGTAAATACATACGCCATACGTCGACAATATCAGCCCATAATGATAAATTACTAAATTTAAAATAAGATGAATAATTAAAAATAATAAAATTACAAATCTATAAAACTAAAGTTTAAATGTTTTGTTAAATTAAAAATATATTTAGACAAATAATTTTAAATTTTTATAAAAACCACTTAGACTAGGTCATAATCTAAATATTACTCATCATCACTTTATAATTTGGCTAATACAATCATAGTCTAAATTAACACTCAACTACCACTCTATAGCCTAATATCTATAATTTGATTACTACTCTATAACCTATTTCTACAACCTATCTGCTTCCCTTTATATGTTAATATAATATTTTATTGGTTCTCTTTTGCATTCTGATTATTTTTTAGGTTTTTTTCTGCTATTTATGATTTTGTATTAGTATATTTTTATTATTACTTTATAATTTAACTATTACTTATTTTTTATTCTAAATAACTTCTATCTTATTTATAAGCTGGATTTGTATTGAGGATACTGATCCTAATATACATTTAAATATCATGTTTATATTAATTTCTTAACCTATTTGACTACCTGTCAGAATGCCAAAATAATTCATATCATTTGACATAGTAAATCTGTGATTAATTTTGACTAGTATTAGAAAAAAAATACATAATTATAAACTTAATTATAAAGATGGTAATAAATTATAAAAGATATAATTATGAAATTAATTATGAGTAATAATTAATTACTAAGGATTTAATTACAAGAATTATACAATAAATAATTTTTTTATAGAATTTAAATTTATAATAAATATTTTTTAATATATAAGTATATAAAAATAATCCTGTAACATATAAAAAATAATGCTCATATCTTAGTATTAAACTGCAAGTTTTTTATAGTATAAAAAGTATTA